AATCAATAAGAGCACCACTAAGAGAAAAGGCGATAAGATACACACCAAAAGAACAACAGTTTGAATATGTATTACCTAGTAAGCATTTGCCTCAAAAAGCATTTTTAATATGCTAAAAACACATACAAAAAAAAAAAATCTTAAAGTGAACTCATCAGTTCTGTTTAAAGAACTCAAGTATCAGCTTTAGCACAAATAAACGGCAACATATTCATGCTTGATTCAGTTCAAAATTCACCATTAACGTCTGTTTTTTTTTGTGAAAGGGGAACATACATTATTAACAGATGGTGCAAAATGAAAATCCCTGCTTTATTAATCAAAACTGCTGCATTTTTTTTTAACCTAGTCATTAAAGAAAACCCACCTTGTTTGTGGTATAGCTATCCCAAATAATTAGTTTTCCATCTTGGGAGGCACTGACCAAAAGCCTTGAAAAAGGAAGGAGAGAAAACTTCAGCTCTAATACATAAAAAAAAAAACATTTAAGCTAAAAACATTTATTTAGAGAAAAAAAAAGAAAAGAAAAAAAAAGTCCCAAATACCTGGAATCTGTGCCCCAGTGCATGGCATAGATTTTAGCCAAATGACCCCTCAGCGTCCGTCTTGTACGCATCTGGATTCGGCCGACGGGGTCAATATTTGCTGTGATCTGCAAACCATTACAGATGTTTGTTAGCTTCAGATCTACTCAACAGGTTTGAATGTATTCTAATTTAATCTTTCTGACAAGTCACAATACCTGTGATAGTGTGGCATCTGCACATGCTTTTCTAGCATCCTGGAGGAAAGAAAAATAAATTAGAGAGAGAATTGAGATTTTAAGCATTATTGCACCAACCTGTTATGTTGCATTTGAGACAATTGCAATTTTTAACTTACTCTTATCTGATTTTTCAGCTGTTCTGCCTCTTGGCGTAACTGGTCCAGTTCACTCATCTTATCCTGCTTTTTTAATTACCTTAGTCCAACTACTGGGGAACTTGTTTATCTAAAAAACAAAGAGGTACAAAGAGTGGAGGAAAAGATAAGCATATATTAATTGATTCCTTAACAGAAACGTGAAGGTAAAGGTTAGTCTAAGACCAGGAAATAATTATGTTACCAAGATAGGGAAAAAAAAAAACCTGCTTCTTGTTCACCCTTATATTTCTACTGCAATGTCGATGTGTCCTGACACACAATTCAGATTGGCAGACAAATCCTGTTAAGGCATGACTTTCCTGTGATCCGAAAAGCAGTGATTATCCTGTTGACCTCAATCCCTGGGGATAGTCACAATTTTCACCAAGTGATCAATAAGCCACTTATATTAATACAGGACCAAAAGAGCTTCTAATTGCACATCAAATAAAGTATAAAGCTTCAATTTTAGTAATAGGAGTATAATAATACTACATTAAACAATCTAATGCATCATTATTCAAAAGAAAAATAAGTTAAGTTCAGGGAGCAATTAATTGGCTTTCCAAACAAAAAATGATTACAATGACTCCCGCACGGAAAAAAAGAAAAAAGAAAAAAAGTTACACTATGAAAGTAAAAAAAAAAAAACAGCTTAAATTACTAAACAGGTATTTATTAAAAGAAAGTCAAAGACCACTTAAAGACTTCCGCTTAGAACAGTTGCAATTATTAATATTCATATTGATCACCTCAAACACTCTGGAGTTTAAGAAATTTCTGGGAAG